AAAAAAAAAAAAAAAAAAAACGACAAGCGATGCAATTTAAAGGTGTGCATCGGTTTTATTGGACGTGTTCGCTGTAGTTCCTTCTTCCCGGTGAAAAATTCAATATTATCTTATTGAGGCGTGACGACAGCGGTGTAACACACTCTATTCAATAGAGTGCCGACACACTAACAGCAATCGTTACTTGTATGTGATATAACGTATACGTGCCAAGGTCGGGAATTAGCGCAAATTTTAGGCGTGCAGAAAAATTATAACAGCTTGACTTTGCCCCTCTCCACTTACGCAGATGACTCATTATCAAAACGATAAAATATATATTTACGCATAACCCGCAGGCTTTTTTATTATATATTTTATTCTCGTTATCGAGCACGTGTTGCTGGGAAATGATGTACATATATATTTTTTTGTAGATTTAAAATTCAAGCGCCAGACGAGGGGAAACGATTATTATGTGAAGTCGCTAATGAGTCTATTTCGGTACGCTCATACTTTTGGCATTCTTGTCCTCGTAAAAAGCCATTCAATGTGCGTAAATGTTACCCGCGAAAAAATCTACAAATAATTCGAACGAACTGCGAGACTACATTAAAATGCGTGACCGAAGTAAACAGTGTGAAATTCTTCTCTCGAGTGTCTTACCACACAGTTTGTATTATTCAGCGTTGAAGAAATTTCCCGTTTTCCCAACGTCGGACGGCATTATTTTAATTTGTATTAACATACGCCGGTTTTTCTATCCGTTTGACACGTATGAATCTTTAAAAGTAGATAAATAATTAAATGCCTTGTTATCACGTTTACCGCGCGACTACCGACGGATGGAGACATGCCGTACACACAAATAAATAGAATAAATCCGTTAAACGACTCATGCGAGTTACCCTTTTGTCGAACCGATGTATTCGTGTGAAATGTTAACCAAGAGAATATTGCCAACATTTCGAAGGTTTCAATAATTTATTGCCCTTTAAGAAAACGACAATGACGACCGTTTCGAAGCTTTTGAACAGCTATCGACGTAATCGCCTGTGTACACACACAGAGTATTATGAACTATAATATGACGATAAAGTATCGTTGTTTTTACGGGACCAATAAAACAGTGAGCGTTTG